TTTTTGGGACTTTGTCTCAAGAGGTTTTGTCCCTTACACAATCGTCTGATCATTTTTAATTGTTAGCGACTAATCCGCGCGATACAGTTTGATTTTTGGAATTTAAAACAATCATTTTTATAAACTGAATGCAATTTGCTTTTAAAATTTGTGCACAATAATGTACTGAAAGAACCTGTAATTTCTCAAACAGATGTGTCAATTGAACTGTAAAAGTCAAGACCATACAATACAAGGGTTTCAAAAATCATAATTTTGCCAATGAACTAATGTCCAATTAAGTATAAATGCATGGAAATATTGAACATACTGCTATTGTTTGAAGTTGAGAAACTTGAACTTATTTGGTCGTCTAAAGACTAGTAGAATCTAAAGTTTTTGAATGTTTAACCACAACTTCTGTGCAATTTCTATGGATATTTTAAGTAGTGTGCATTTCATTGCATATCTGTTCTGGTCCAATTCTGTTGCCGTTGTTCAGCTCATCCCTTGATGCAATCTAATGTTATTTGGAGATTATATTAGGATTTTGGTGTTAGTTTCTTTTCCTCAGGAGCTTTGTGGATTTTCTGGGAAACGTCTGTCATTAGACTCCTAGCCAATTCAGGAAGAAGTTAATTCCCACATGGAGATTATTATTGTTATGCAGCCCATCTTTGGTTGACCAGCTGTGTGGGAGAAATGCAATACCATCTCCAGCGACTCCCCGGATATGATAAGTGGGCAATTGAGAAGGAGACTGGGCCGCACATCGAAGCATTCCAAGATCAGAAAGAAAAGTTGGTATATCTCACTGCTGATTCTGAAAATGTGTTTAGTGAACTGGACCCAGAGGCAATAGGGTTGGCGGATTGGAACTGTGGAAAGGAATAACTATGAAGAAAGCAGAAGAGCAAGGGATTCAAACTGCAAAAGTCCCGATAGGGGAATATTTGAAGACGTCTAGTTCTCAGGTGCGTTTGGTTTTATTTTTCTTACTTTGGCGGTTTCTTTCCAGAGTCCTCTCATTTAACGCAAGAATGTAGGTTGCAAATGTAACCAGCTTAATTCGGTGCATGTTTGGCGAAGCTTAAGAAATGTACTTTTAAGTTGAAACCAGTGATGCATCAAAGTTGAATATAAGTTGCTTAGCACCTACCTTAATGTCAAACAAAGTAACTTTCTACTTATAATCGAGAAAGAGTAACTTATCAAAATACATTTGGGAACAAAAAGTTGCTTAAATGCAAGTTTTAGTAACTTTTATGCTCAACCAAACCTGCTGTAACTGGTAGGGGTCAAGTGCTTTCCACAAAAAATAAAAAGAGGTATGATATCAGACAATGGGTCATTCAGAACTTGGTTTTCCTTGCCTATGTGACAATGTCAGAACCCGAAATATCCTATCAAGTTTTCTGGTTATCATATGACTGCAGTTAGATCTATATCTTAGTAATCTGAGTTTTCTGAAAGCATATACTTTTACCTTTTAGTGATTGAGAGTAAAACCATATGATTAACTTTTGGCCCTCCGATTTTCTTTTCATCCGTTTTTCCCTCATTGTATCCATCTTGGTGTTTCCAAATTGCTGTGCATCAAGTCAATTATTATTACCCTTCTGAAGAAAAATTCTTCATTTTGAATCAAGTGGTAGAGATAATCCTCATGTTCTTGGATTCTTTCAGGTCATTCCTAAAAGGAAAAGATGTGAGGTTGACTCGGGAGACTCTGGTGGAGAGGTTGAAGGGAATGATAGTGATGAAGAGGTAGAACAGAATGATAGTGGTGAAGATAAAGATGAAAAAACAATTGGAATGTTAGAATGCGATGATTTTGTAACGACATCAATTTTACAACTAAGTTGGAGGATCAACTTGCTATTTTTAAAGGGGGCAACAGTGCAATCTTCCCTAAGAAACTTCTAGAAGAAAAAGAAGCAATGAAAATCATGAAATCATAAACAACATTACTGCTTCATGAGTATCCAAAGTTGGCAAGCAGACTAGCTTAGTTTATACCTAATACCCAAAATAAAAACTTATGTGAATCCATTACATAAGATCCCAGTTTTTTTATTTTTCTTTTACGTCCCCCTCTTAGCAAATTCTAAACCTGCTCCTTACATTGGGGGGATGGATCAATGCCAGCCACAGCAGCCTGGGATGGACCAGCATTTGATGGATCCTTGAGGAAGCCATTCATTGGAGGAGCCCCAAAGAATCCATGGTGTGGGGCCATTGGGAAAGGCACCGGTGGAAACGTCATGTACCCATAAGCGCCTGGATCGGCTGCAGCCCTCTTCACCAGTGGCTCCCCAGTCAACGAGCCACGTTCACCACCATCATACTCCCGATAGCGATGCAGGTAGAGAGTCAGTGGCTCAATGTAGTCATCAAATCCTAGCTTGCTCATGGCCCAAAGAACATCTTCAGCAGTGATGGTCTTGCGTTGCTCCCTCTGGCAACGATCATTAGCTTCGCTAGTGATGAACCCGATGAATTCAGAGACGCACTCTTGGATAGTTTCCTTAGCATCGTCTGCTATTTTTGCATGTGTAGGGAGGATCTTACGCATGATTCTGATGACGTTCGCTATTGGCATGAAGCGATCTTGCTCCCGAACGGTGCATTCAATATCATCAATGGTGTTTGCATTATGGTTCATCTGAGGAGGCATCTCTGGTGCTTTTGTACCTATGATGAATATGCAAATGCAGTTATCAAGTTTCTATATTACATCCATACACTTCACAATCCAAAAACAATTCCTAAACTGCAAAGTATGAAATGGTTTAAGTTGGTTGGAAATCGAAAAAATGCATATAAGGTTTCTCAGACCAACACTAATTCAAATCAAGACTGACCCTCCTCAATCTATAGGCCCATGGGCCCAATAACGTTGGCTTAAAAAGAGTAATCCAAGACTTCCAGTGGAACGGCAAATATCCTTGATGTTTGTCATTAGTTTTGTCTTCAAACTGTCCTGTGAAACCTGAGAATTGAAAAACTGAACAAAGCCTGTCCAGCTTTTCTTCTCCTCGGTGTATAAAAATGTAAATATTTGATTTTAACCAAATCTCCTCAGATAGGTGTTGGAACTTGCTGCAGGATTTAAGAATCAGTGCTACATAAATATTCGTATATGAACAGAGAAACATGTCCCTGGAGATGGGGGAAAAAAGAACTTCTTTCTTAAATTGCAAGGGTAAAGAGTAGTGCAAAATAATCTGGTGTGTAATTGTGGCTGAGAATGCATGAGTGACATATGTTAATATACTTCTGCGGTTCAAACACTGCATGCATGCCACTTGTTATCGGTTTGTCTTCAACAATTTCATCAGCCATCTGCAATCTATAGCAACTGTTACAGTATCCCTGTCGTTTCTAATGATCTTCCCTTCGTAAACAAACTAAACACTGTGTGCGTATGTCTCTGTGTGTGTGAGAGAGAAATTTTTTCCAGGTGGAGGCGGGGTCAACAAGTGAAGAGCTCTAGAAAGAGAAGAAAGATGAAGATGAAGAATAATAAAACCAAAGAACCAAAAAAAAAAAGATAATAATATTAATGTCATGCCTATAAACTACAGGAAACTCTGTGTGTGTGTGTGTGTGAGAGAGAGAGAGAGAGAGAGAGAGAGAGAGAGAGAGAGAGAGAGAGGGTTCTTTCCAGATGGGGGTGGGATCGAAATGAAAAGCATTTTTCAGACTAGAAACAAGGATCACAGAAAATTCGAGGAGAAAGATGAAGATGAAGATCCATTGAACAAACGAAATAATAAGGCTATTCCTTATAAATACAGCAATCTGTATGTGTGTATGTGAGAGAGAATGAGAAAAAAATCCAGGTGGGGGTGGGGTGACAAGTGAAGAGCACTTATAAGTCTAGAAACAAGGATCACAGAAAATTAAAGGAGGAAAAAGATGAAGATAAAGAATAACAAAACCATAGAACAAAAAAACTAATAAGGACATGCCCTATAAAGTAGAGCAAACAGTATGTGTGAGAGCGAGAGAGGGAGTTCAAAAGACAAGCAGGCTAATTAAACACATTTACCAGCACAAGAATGCCTCAATCAAAAGAAGAATGCAAAAGGTATTTTCCCCCTCTCTGTGTGTCTGTGTGTGTGTGTGTGTGTGTGAGAGAGAGAGAGAGAGAGAGACTGTATGCGTGTGTATATATAACGTGTATATATGTATAGTTGAGAGAAGACTCTATCAAGAAAGCTAAAAAATAAAAATAAAGATTCATCCCTGAGTGTGTGGGTGTCTGTATGTATATATACACACACCCCACAAAGGAATGAAGAATCAAGCACACGCACATATACAAGACAAAAAGGGAATATTAAACAGATTTAGGGACATATATAAACCCTAATTCTTTATCTTTACCGGCGGAGCTGTTCTGTGGCAGCACCCTGCGGTAGCCATGGAAGCCTCCATTTCCTCCTCCGAATTCCATCCCTCTCTCTCTTCAATTTTTTCTTGAAACTGAAATGTAAAAAGAAGGAAATGAGAATTGTCCATATTTATAAAGCAAAGCTGAAAGAATACAATGAACACGTGGCGGCAGGCGTTGTGAACAAGGCTAAGACATTCGCCGGTACGAAATAAACCTTCACAGTTGGGCAGCACTGGAAACATTGACCGGCTGGCATAGAAAGCCATTTTAATGTGTATGCTTTATATATGGGAATTTTAATGTTGGAACTAGTAATAAGTGAGGGTGACAAGTTTTTTTTGCTTCAATTTCCATTGGGATTTATCATTGTTGTCAAAATTGAATTTAGACATTTTGATTCACAATAAAAAATCAAGATAAACTGTTTTGTGCATTAGTTCCAGTACATAAAAATATAAAAATGCAGTAATCACCAATTACACACTCTTAATAATTATGTAATTAGTTCGAGCAAGCCACTCATTTGATGGACTTCAGGTCGGATCATTGAATTTTATTCATTGATGACGTCTTTAATAAATGATACGTAATTAGTTCGAACAGTTCACTCGTTGACTAACTTTATATGGGATCATTTAAAACTTTATTTCGAATTATTCTAGAGCTTTAAATGATTCGAATTTTCATTTGATTTAGTTCGTACGGAATTAAATGTCGGATAATTTTAAATTAATCATCAAAGAAAAAAGGTGAATTACATTTTATTTTATGTCGTAAAATTTATTTATCAAACTCGTTAATAGAAATATTATCAATCGCCCAATGAAAACGATAATTAAGTTCCTCTACAATCCAAACTATCAAAAATTTTATTTTAGAGGAATCGGATATTCTTCTTTGACAACAATCTCAAAATATATAGATATTTTTCTCTTTTAATTTTTAGATAGCATCTAAAATTGTTCAAACAGTACTAGATATTATTTAATGCCTATGCTTTATATATGAAAATTTTAATAGTGAACTTTGTAATAGCAGAGCGTGGCAATTTTTTTTTTATTATTATGATTATTATTTTAAATTTCCATTAGGATTTATCATTTTTGTCAAAATTGAATGTATACATTTTGATTCACAATGAAAAAATCAAGATAAACTGTTTTGTGCATTAGTTCCAGTACATAAAAATATAAAAATGCAGTAATCACCAATTACACACTCTTAATAATTATGTAATTAGTTCGAGCAAGTCACTCATTTGATAGACTTTATGTCGTTTAATTTTATTTATTGATGATATCTTTAATAAACGATATGTAATTAATTCGAACAGTTCACTTGTTGACTAACTTTTTATGGAATCATTTAAAACTTTATATTTCTATTTATTCTAAAGCTTTAAATGACTAAAATTTTCTTTTGATTTAATTGGTATGGAGTTGAATGACGAATAATTTTAAAATAATTATCAAATATTTCAATTTTCATAAATCATGACAAAAAATAGTGAATTAAATTATTTTATGTTGTAAAATTTATTTATTAAACTCATTAATAATAATATTATCAATCGCTCAGTGAAAACGATTAAATAAGTTCCTCTCCAATCCAAATTATCGAAAATTTGATTTTAGAGAAATCGGATATTCTTCTTTCACGATGATCTCAAAATATATAGATATTTTTTCCTTTTAGTTTTTAGATAGTATCT